GGGGGTTGAAGCCTCTATTTCCATCTGAAGTGTTGAGTCAGTAAGCTAATATAAGGCTTCGGGTCACTGGCAAGGCAATCTTTGTCATCACTCTGTCCTGTTAATGAAATAGACAAACCCACGTCAGCAGTCATTTACAATCATTAGCGATCAGGATTCTCAATAATACACAACACCAGGCAGTTTTTCCTGCCCTGAGTCATGTTCAAGGACAAATTGGAAATACAAAAAAAATGTATTGCAGTGATTTGTATGTGATATTCCATGTGGACACTCTAATCACAGTCTCCTAATGGAAATCCTTCTCTGCGCTATATTTGGCTCCTATTGAACTAGCCACTGATTTGGCCAGTACAATCTGCATCAGTCTGAGTCTCTTTCTGAATGTTATTGCTTTCAATCAGCCATGTAGTCAATTGGTTCATTCCTTTTTTTGTCGTCTTTTTTTTTTTGCTTGTGTATTTTCATCCATTCGACCGTTTAGAAACAAAACATTAAAATCCTCCAAAATTCTCTTTAGTCCACAGATGTTTTGAAATTGTGCACAAATCTTCTTTCCTTTGTTCCCTCCTTCTGTGATACATATAAAAGGTTTTCTTCTTCACTTTAAGACCACAGAGGAAGAGGAAGGAACAAAGGATGAAGGTAAGAATAAAAGGAACACAATGCAGTATATTTTTTTGCCTAGGCCACTAATAGTGTTTTGATCTGTATATTCTTTCATCATCCACAGGTCAGTACAAGTAAATGCTTTAATGAATAACTTAGCGGAGTAAAATCATCCCTGATCATGACTATCAATATTAAAAACAAGTTGTAATGCGAATACAGTAGGAAAACCAATATCAGATGTACAAAAGGCATTTACAAAAACTTTGATAACACAAGCTTTTAAAATGCACACTGAAAAATGTAAACACACACACTAAAGGATACATCTGGTGTTATTCCATACCTTTCTTATTGTCGACAAAATCCAATGAAAAAAACTAAACCAACAACAAAACATTGCAAGAGGCCCAATAGTGGCGGCATTTTGTTTCAGGTCCCAGTGAGACTTGAAATACGAAGCAGTTTGATGAAGAGATTAATGCGTTTAAAGGCGTATTAGATGCTAAAACACTGCACAATAGTTTATAATACTCTGAGACGGGATTTTGAAACACTGGAAAGTTGTCACTGCTGTAATGATTTCATTAATTTATCGTCACAACGGTTACAGACTACAAGTAATCTACCATTCATTGTTGGTTTTGGTCTTTTCATGAGATTTGTTTACTTAAAGAAAATGTAAAAATTCCACCGGACTCAACATTTCACACCTTAAAGGTTGCAGGTGAGGTATGCCTTTTTTGCTGTATGCTCTCCTCGTATCTTTCACACTTAGATGTTGTATTTGAGTTACCCAAACCTCTGTTTAAGAGGCCAACTTTTCACCGCTAAAGTTAATGTCCGTAACTTGCTGTTAAGGCTGTAGACAAAACCAACACGAAGCTGGAAAGCTGTTGTGGCTGATGAATGAACTGAGAGACTAGAAATGGGGCTTATTTTGAAATGGGCAGACTGAGAGTGGGACATAAAGTGAACCGACAGTTACTGTGTGTAGAGCACAGAGCCTAACAGTCTCACTCTGGCTGTTCTGCTACCGAACCCTGCTGACAATCAGCCCATCACAAAACTTCAACACGAATGTCATGAGAGCGATGCGTAGAATTGTGAGTAATGTCCAAGATTTCTTTTTTTTCCCACCTTGGGCAACAAGTATTCATCAATACTTCTTTACATTTTGATGAAACAAACAGAAAGAAAGGTGAAAAATAACGTGATATAACGTGAAAATCTGTTAATAACATATCAAATTGAACAAAAAAAAGGACATTCACCATTAATAAATATTCCTTTTGACACATTGTATTATCAACACATAAATATCTATGCATTTCTTTGTGTCGAAACTAAAGCTCTTGCAATTACACATTTAAATCTATTACCTTATAATATTCCCATATAGCCTACATACTGTGTCATTTATAGCTTATATCCTTGAATTTAATACAAATAAATATTTCATAAATTATGTTGATATAAATCTTTTTTCAATTTTATTGTTCTTATCAAATATCAGAGCTTGAAAAACATTTGAGTTCATTGGCCACCTGTGTGTGACAGCGGCTGTCTGACGTTTTGCTTTGCTGTAGTGTCCTGTGAGCAGAAGATGGCAGCAAAGAGGCCACGTGGGCAGTGTCTCCTTGACAGGAAAGACCAGCTTATTCTTATGTTCTAACTGTGTTAAGTAGAGAGAGAATAACATACAACTGATACAGTACTGGCATCCCCGGAGGGAATGGGCCCCGTCCTGTCTTTGATTCCCTAAATGACACTGTTACTGGTCTTTGGCCCGTCGTAGTCAGAGACACGAGCATCAGCACACAACTGCGTTTCTGAACGAGGACTCGATCCAGTGAAACAGGCTTTCGTGTAAACTTTTACTACAGTACCGTGACGTCTGGCAGATGCTTCCAGGATGGAGACATGTTGGAGGTGGCGTGGTTTGGGAGAGAGGGAGGGGCTTAAAGCGCGGTCTCCTTCAGGTCGTTGAGGTTCGGCATCCTGGTGCGGGAGGCTCGGGTAAAGGTGGGTCCGTTCTGCCCCGGTTTGATGCCCAGCTGCTCTGGGGTGAACTGAGTGCCCTCCGCCCGCTGTAAGGCCGACACGTGCCAGCTGGACTCGATCTGTCCAGGGAGGGGGTAGCTGGCCTTGCGGCTCTTGGCCTGGGCGGAGCTGCTCACCCCCGGGTGGCCCCTGCTCTCGGCGTGCCCTCGACCCTCGGAGTAGCCCGCTTTGGAGGAGGGCTGAGGAGGGTTGGGGAGGGGGGCTTGGAAGCGCAGGTCTGGAGGAGGAGGAGGCTGTCCTTGGTTTGAGGAGGAGGGGGAGAGATGAAGGAGCCTGCGGAGGGACTTGAGGGGTTGACTCTGTTAGGAGAGAAAGAGATAAAGTGAGTAAATGAATTAGTGTGTTAGTCCATCCACCCAGTCTGTGTTCTTTCCTAGTTAAGACCTAAATCTTATAAGTAAATGTAGGTTTAATTGTTGCAGGCATAGTGTACATAATGAACAAGTCTGCTTCTACAAGGCCAATTCTCTCTTTTGAATTCCAGTTGGGGACTATGAGGAGCTGTATGGGACTTAGACGGGCCTAAACATCCCACCCTCCTTCTTTGTTGTTACTATTTACTTGTTATGCTATTCTATCTCATTTTACTCTGTTGAATCAGTCTGGTGAAGACCTGATCGGTTAAAAGTGTTTTCTTTAAATAACAAAATCTGTTACCATGCAATACAAAACCACAAAAGCCAATACAAAAAGGTCTTTCACATTTCATATATCATGTGCACAGAATTATGTGACTTACATAACATGATTTACATATAATTTATGTATTGATGACGGACACTAAGTGTCTGTTTTGGTATTATAATGAGGTCATTTTAGTGTCTCCAGTATGTAACGTTAGGCTACACACCTGAGAGTGCGAGTCCACTGGTTTGTCTGGTGGCCAGTCATTCACTCTCTCCCTCTCCCTCCCTCTGTCCCTCTCTCTCTCCCTCTCTCTCTCTCTTTCTCTCTCCCGCTCTCTCTCTCTCTCTCTGTCTCGGTCCCGGCTCTGCTCCCGCTCCCGGTCTCTGTCTCGGGATCGCTCGCGGTTTTTCCTCCGGCTGCCGTGGTGAGAGGACGACTTGGAGCTCCTCTGCAGTGACAGGTGTTCTTGCCCGTTACCAGGAACCTGACATTTCAGAAACATGAAAAAAACTTTGTGTAAATGCTACTCTCTCTCAAGGCGAGGTTACCCCAATCATCTTCATCACACAACACGTGTCACTCAAATCACGGTGAGGTTCTTCATGCACCTCTGGCAGCACCAGACGAAACCCAAGCAGGATGTGATGTGATAAGTGATTATTTCGTACAGAAACAAATGCAGTCCTCAGAAGGTTTTGTGTCTAAGTGTGTTTTCACAAACTATAATATACATTTGGGCTGCAACTAATGATTTATTTCATTATCATTTTTGTTTATTAATAAATTCATTGTTTAATCTATAAAACATCAGAAAGAGTACCAACGTACTTGTTTTGTCTGATCAACAGTTAAAAAAAAGATTAAATTACAATAATATAAAACAGCAAAGAAATGCAAATTTTCATATATTATTATATGATATATAACATTTGTTTAATTTATTGTTTTAATATTTGGATTTTATTTACTTGATATTTGACTGAAACAACTATTCAGTTATCAATCTGTTGGATGATAAGAAGAGATTTAGTTGCTTTTGGACAGAGTCAGGCTTGCTGTTTCCAGTCTTTTTGCTAAGCTAAGCTAACCTGCCGCTGTCTGTTGCTTCATGTTTCATGAACAGATATGAGAGTATTATATTGACAATCCCATCTAAATCTCGGCAGAGGAAGTGAAAAAAGCACATTTCTCAAAAAATGTCCAACTACTGCTTCCTGCAGCGCAGCGCAGAGTCCATCAATGTGTCCAGTATGAGTTTGCATACTGGACACACTGGAGTGTTGAACATGTCCATGACCCTCTTACGATGTTATATCAGAAAAGGATGAGTGTTGTCTCACAAATGCAACGTGGAATACATAGCGACCGCATTCGATAAACGTTATAGCAAAGACATGATGGATGCACAGACACCGTGTGGCATTAAGACTCAAAATGTATTTGAAATCCTTTCTTAAATTGGAATTTTTCCCAGTCAATCAATCGTGAAGCTCTTGAGAAGATTTCAAAGCAGATTCTGATGAGGGCAGTGCGCGTTAACATGCAGCCATAGTGTTGAGGTTAGATTACTGGTGAGGCAGGGTAGGGCGTGGTAGGCTGGTGTTGTGCCATGGGCGAGCCGACTACGGGTAGGACTTTGACAGCTGAGGTGTGCTTTAAGCTATTCTTAGAGCTAAAGAGCGGGAAAAGGCTTTTCTTGATGCTGGGGTTCCTCCCGTCCTCCATGTCCGTCTGTGGAGCAGAAGACGCACAGCCACAACTCTCAACACAAATCTCTGGTGGCAAACAGAAAAACAATGCAGCACCTAATGCTGACCCATCTAAAGAAAGACACCACTGAGCAATAGATACAAAGAGAATAATCAATAATAAGCATGAATATCTGATTAAGATAAACAGGGAAGGAAATAAAGGGTGGAAGGTCAGACTAGCATTTAAGGATCATTCAGTTTTATTGTTTTTTTGCTAGCCATCATTTCTATCCATTGTAATAACATTGTGCTACCCAAAGTTATCAACATGATCAGACAGGTTGTAAACATCCTGCCAGGTTATCTAAACCACTGTGTTTGGAGCTAAAACTAAAAGTGTGTCCGACATGTTGGCAATAATCAAAAGTGTGTTTTCATCAATTTCTTTACAGCTAATTTTCAGTTTGCACATAAAAAAAAACAAAAAACGCGGAAACACTAAAAAATATTAAAAATAAGGCAAAATATCGCAAAAAAATATCGTTAAAAAGAAACGCAATGAAGCGCAGAGGAAAAACCGACTTAACGGATCAGTCATGTGGTACATAAAACACTGCTCCACTGGAGAGACGAAAAACATCGGATCTGTGTGGACCAATGAGGGGTCTGCATCCTTCCTCACTAATAGATTATAGATTCCTGCAACATTTCCACTGTTTTGTGTTTGAGTGGCATACTTGTGTAGGTGAACAACTTTGTTGAGTGCAGCAGGTCAATGTTGAGGTAGGAGGCCGGTCTGTAAACTGTGATAAATGATTATAGTTTGGTAATAAGTTTACACATCATGTTTGTTGTCTCCCTCAGATAACTTTGACTAATTGGGGCTTTTTACAATCTGTCAGACGACTTCTCGTGCTCCTTGGCCCGTCGCTCTTTGTCTCATTGTAGCGATGCCGCCGTGTTCCCAGATTTGAGCAGTTAACTCGATGAGTCTAATGTTATTATTACCGACAGGAATGATGGCAGAAACTGTGAAAATAATAAACTCTTTTACACTCTTGGTGGTTAATATCAGTGTTCCTTCACACCGTCAGTTAGTTTTTAAGCACAAATAAACACTGATGCTACAGGTAATCATTTTCTACTGATAAGCGTTCACTACACACTACAATGCACTTCATAAATAAGGGAAACAACACATTGAACCAAAATAAATGACTTAGATGGTCTTACTATTTGTGTCTTCTTCTTTTTCTTTTTAATGGCTCTGAAGAAGCCTTGTTTTTCCTTCTCTTTGGCGGGCTCTGGAGGATTCATGACCATTGCTTCTGCGGTGGTCCTACGTGGTAAATGTGGAGAAATTGTTCACGCTGTATTATGTTTATAATGACAAGCTCAGGATTAAATGTTGACTTCTTATCAGGTATGTCTCAAATGCTACAGCACAACCTGAATATATAATGTCAGTAATAAAATAAATATACAGTATGAAAAGACACTGGTCCTAAAATAATACCAGAAACTATTTACTATTAGAACAGAAAAATGAACAAACAGAAAATTTAAAAAAAGCACAACGTGTTTTTTTTTTTGTCTATTTAAAGAAAATCGTGGACAGTGTTTCTTGTTCACTTAATTTATGGTTCAACTGTCAACACAAGAGTGGAAATAGTGTTTCCAATTCAATGACAATTTCACAACATGTTTTTATTCATTTGATTTCAGTCATTTGGAGACTGTGACAATAACCTTGTAAAAACCACCAGACACAGGAACAGCTTCTTTCCACTGGCTGTCACTCTCATGAACAATTAACCAGTCAAACTGCACTACTACCTCCATTCTGCACTATTTCCATGGACACTGTTGTTGTATAGGGTTATGTTCATATATATACCCCTTTTGGATATATATTTACATTGTACATAGTTGTTAAATGTTTATACTTACATCTGTTCTACTTTTTGTTTTTTGTTGTCCCTGTTTTTTATTCTTTATTTTTTTTTGATATATTTTAAATATATGTGACAGTGAGGAAAATATGTGAGGTGGTTTTAGGTAATTAGGTCATTTTTTTTCATTTATCATTAGATGTCCACCTCTGAGGTCAAAGCGCTGTATTGTAGAAGCTCAGTTCCTTTTTCACAACAATGAATGTCGACAGTTTCCTCGACACAACCTTGAATGTACATCTACTGTATTGTAGTCACAGTCACATGCCACGCCAGCTCAAAACAATAAATCCTCACCAGTCAAAAGCCGTCTGGCGTTTGGAGTGGTTGACCATGGCCACAGGGTCTCCGGGTAGACCGGGTACGACCGGCCCTCGACCCTGACCGACACCGTCATGGAAAGAGGAGGAGTTGTCAGGTCTCGGGGAGGGGACTGAGGAGGAGAGACAAATGATTTTAAAATGTGAGTATCTCTTCCTTTAAACATTTCCTTTTAGTCCATTTAAGTTCATTTTTTTGTGTGTTTGCTTACTGTCCCCAGAGTCAAACATGTAGTGGAAGTTCCTTTGCACCAGATTTTATTCTATTCTTTTAAGAGCCTTCCCTAAAATAATGGAACTGTCCACTAAATCAACTGAAAGTGCAACACAATTTCAATGTTTTTAATAGAGGTATACAATGATGGCTTGAAGAAAACCAGCATTGTTCTTACACTAATACCCCTGCAGACACACCTGTAGTTTTTATCTTGCGTATATTTTGTGGATAGATTTGTGGTATTTGTGGGCGTATTTTTGGATGCATTTCTTTTCTTTTTTAATTTAATTTAATCATTATTTTCTTTCTCCTTTTAAATAGCCTCCTGTGTACAGGTGTAGCAAATAAGTGTTTTGCTGCAAACACTATACGAAGTGCATCTGGTTCTTGTCCAAAAATGCATGTTACAGTTCTAAAGCTATTTGATGTCCATATCAACTAAACTAAAATAAACTAAACTAATAAATAAGTAATTTTTAATTTTTCTGTTGCCACAAGACACACAGCTTGCCTCTCAGTGAGTCCTGTCCCTTACCTCGGTAGAAGCTGCCTACTCTCCGAGGCATGGACTCAGTGAAGATCATCCGGTTCTCTTTGGAGGAACCTCCATCCTCCACATGAGGGTCATGATACATGCCGACCTAAGAGACGCACACGTCATGCGGACACACAAACGTACAAGTACACACACGGACATAGGACCATACAAAGTTGCTCAGCATCTTCATATTTGTGATTGATAATCTCATTTATTCTCACTTGATCTTTTAACGCTAGCTAACGCATTCACAAGACAATCGGGACAATGTTAGAGCTTTTTCAGCGAGGTTACATTTATACCAGCGACAACGTGCGGTGAAGCTGTTGACCTGAGTAGAAACAGAAAAAGCTATGGAAACGAGCGGTCAGAAGAGCTACTGTCTGTGCTGGGTGAACTGGCTGGAGGAAGGGAGGAGTCGGGGGGTCGGACCTCGTTTTTAGAGCGCTGTGTATGAAAAGCAGCAGTGTTGTCCCTCGTAGAGTCTTTGATGGGGGCACAAGGGTGGCTCATGTCTTTAGGGGACTGCTCACTCTGTTGAGAAGACGGACAGGCGCAGGTCAAAGCAGACTGGAAAAGCAGCATGAAGCAGTGGCAATGACAATGTGAAACAGTGACAGTCCCTGCACACACACACACACACATCAACTTGTGACATACACACATTTTCAATAGACGTGTTAAAGGAAAGATTCACCCTTAGATACTAATGCATCAGAAAATACCAATTTTTCCTCCCGTTTCATTCATTTCTCAGATTCACTTTCAACAAGTAAAGGGCTTTAACTTCAGGTGGAGTGCTTCAGTGATGGTGGAGCAGCAACAGGTTTTCCAATACTTCCTAAAACCTCTTGTGGCAGCATTACATTATGGTCTCTTGAGGCTGCTTGTGGAGAAATTTAGTTCAAATGTGAGGTTACAGTGAAAATATGTAATAATTGGCGCCACCCTCCCGTTGGCCACACTGACATCTGCATATGTATTGCCTCTTGGCTCATCTTGTTTCATTATTTATAACTTCATTCATTCACTGATCAGTTCTATTTCTGTAGTTTTCCTTTTTACCTTTGTGTCCTCTTGGCATGTTTATTGTCGTGGTTTGTCTTTCATATGTCATGTGTCTCTGTTTTTTTTATTTTGCGACTAAGCTAAAATTAAGTTATATATTTAAGATAAATAATCATTTTAATTTGAAGATAAGAAACACAATTATTACTTATAATGTTTCACCTGTACAAGGTTAACTTATGTTAGCTACAAGATTGCATCAATTGCTCTTCAGACGTAAGTCTTTTATTACAACAATCACACAGATGTTGCTGTTACCATGGAGACGGTAAAAAAGAAAGAAGTAAAAAACTATTTGTAGCCATGGGCAACGATGAAGTCCAAATACCCCACCAGTCCAAGGAAATGTTCTTTTTACTTTGAAATAATTTGGCAGAAATAGACTGAATTTTCTTTTTTTTACCAATAAAGCTTCAACCACTATTTTTAACTTTTAATTGATCTCCTGTACATTTAGGTCTAAATATTGTTTAAACCCTCTCTACAATGAACGATATGTAATTCCGGTGGAAATCTATCAATTTTATGCCCAAAAAAGGTAATTCGTCTAAAACCATCATAACTGACACTTATTAAGATGTGACTTCAAACATCAATAAAAGTCAAAAAGGATCCTGTGCTCTATCAATACTGACCGTCTGCTTTAAGCTGGTAGCTCTGGTAGAACATTTATTGTCTACATTTGTCTTTTTGTTGAGAAAATAATCACTTTTCTTAGGGTATTATTTTAGGGTGAATGTTTCCTTTAGCGTCCACCACACTCACAGGACTATCTGCCACTAACCCTCGACATGTCATCCGTGCAGTCTTCTCTGGAAGAGCTCACTGAGTGTCCAGTCAGGGTGGTTCGGTGCTGCAGTTGGGGGGAGAGGAGCTGCAGGCTGCTGGCGCGCGTCGGTATCGCCTGCCCTGGCGGAGGCAAGCCCGCCATCCCACCCTCGATCCCGTGCGGCCGGTGGCGCTCCCTCCTCACGTACATGGAGTGGCGTTGAGGCCGTTGCTGTGAGGAGAAGGGGGAGGTGTAGCCCAGGCCATAATGATAAGACTCATGTGGGGAAGGCAGAGTGTGAGTGGAGGGCATCCCTGCTCCTCCAGGGTCTAAGAGCTCCGGAGCGCCGGCCTCCTCTGGAGCAGGGCGGAAAGATAAACGTGGTTAGAGCTTCATGTCACGATTATTGTCTGCATTGAATATTCTGTTATTTGGTTTGATCACTCATTCAAACCGTGTCATAAACTGTGTGAAATGCAAAATTCAAATATCTTCTTTTGTTCAACCTGAAGTCAAAAATGTATAGTATTTAATTTACAGAGACATAAAACAAAACAAAGAAATTGAACATTTGAGAAGCTGGAACCAGTTTGACATTTTGTCTGATGAATTTACTAAAATGACTGAATAATCATTTAGCAAAACTGTCGATTAACCAGTTAATAATTTCAGCACCACATGTCAAAGTTGTCATTTATTCCATGTCAGCCGATATAATTACTGTTCCAAATACAGATAATATACTGGGAACCGGTCATTACGCTGACAACATTTTATTTTATTTGTGAAAACGAAATTTACTTGTGTATCATGAACTCGTTGTATCCTGAAGATGCTTTTTAGAAAACTCTTATCTTGTGATACGGTTCCCACACACCTGCCTTTATACTTCTGAACTGTCTCCGGTGAAAAGTTTAACAAGACATGGTGACCATTTTAAGAGGTCTGCATGAAGACATGAGCTTTCAAACCAAACAGTCGAGATCTACTGTTTGATGGATATAAATACTTTTAAAGACCTTGAACAAGATTGAATAAAAAAGGCTGGTTGAAGCCTGAAGGTAAAGGCAAATTTAATTCAGGACAATAAAGTTGACTCTTGAATAGAAATTAGGCTCTCACACCTACCTGGTGTTAGAGGTTTATGTCTGGATTTGTGTCTGGATGAGGAGTCCAGCGTGCTGCTCTCCATGCGGACATTGCCGCTGCTACGAGAGGCGGGGCTGTGCCCCGATCGATCACTGTGCCGAGCAGAAGGGCTGCCGGGCGGCCCCTGGGGAACTGAGGGAGCGTTGAGGTCTAAACAGCTGGCAGGGAAGAAGCGGGCCCCGGGGCCCATCCCTGCTGTCGTGTTGGAGTTGGGGTCATCTGGGTGGAGTCGACCGTCGCTGAGGTTCCCCACGGATTTGGCATCACTCAGCGCGCTGTGGCTCTTGGACAGGCTGAGGTAAGAAGCTGAACTCTTTGAAGAGGAGGACATGGATCCGTGGGCAGAGTCGGCCATGCTGTGGGTGTGTCGGCCATGTTGCTTCTCTGCTCCAGACTGAAGAGTGTTAGTTTTGCCCTCCAGGAAGGTGTGGCGGCCTACCTGCTGCTGTTGCTGCTGCTGTTGCTGCTGCTGCTGCTGCTGCTGCTGCTGCTGCTGCTGCTGTTGTTGCTGCTGCTGCTGCTGCTGCTGCTGCTGCTGGTGCTGCTGCGAGCGAGAAGAGCTGGGTTTGCTGTGGCCGTACTTGGCCCCGTGTCCCTGGTCTAGCAGCTTTGTGGAGGGTCCTAAGCTGAAATCAAACTCTGTCTTGCCTTTGGCCTCGTTGGGGCTGAGGAGGTGTGGCAGGTTGTTGTTAGCCAGGTCCTTGTTGGATGAGGCAGAACGATTGAGGGTCTGGGACATGTACTGGGCCTTGGGGTGGAGCGTCGGACTTAAGCTGGACGGAGCCGGTTTGTTACCGTTGAGAAAACTCTTGTTGCCGAGGTGATGGAGGTCACCATGGCGGGGGAGACTGGAACATTCTTTGGCGTTGGAGCGACGGCTCGTGCTCTTAGTGTGACTCCTGGAGGGGCAGAGAGAGGGATGGATAACACTTAAGACTTCATCTTAACGTCTTAGTCTTTGTGAACGTTGCACTTCACATCTCAGCCTCACCTCAGCTCTTATTCAAACAATCCTACTTCTGCTTGGGAAAAACAACTGACTTAAGTTGGAATAAATCTATAGTTGGATGTGACATCTTCTCTCAGGAAACAATGCTTGTGTCAAGAAGCAAGCACTGCAACCATTATAGCGAATTGCTGTGATTTATTCATTTTAAATGAAAAAAAAAAAAATCAGCTTTATAATTAAAATTCTCAAGAAAAGTCTGAACAAAAACTGTAAAATGCTTTGAATCAAGTGCCACAAGCGTCATATCAATTATTTTTTTACAGAACATCCTGATGGCACATCTTTTGAATATTAGTAAGCATGCGCTGCGTTTAGAAGACTGCATGTCGAAGCTGTGACAGAGAATGAATAATAAAGGAGTCGGACCTCGTGGGGACTGTGTTCTCTCCATGATGGTGTGTTTTCCTCTTGGAGGAGCGCGGCAGGTTGGGAGACGCAGGAGGAGGCCGCTCTGCCTGCCTCAGAGGCTGGAAGGCCGGATGGTTCAAACTCTGCTCCGTCAGGTAGCGCTCAGTTGGGTTTAGCAGCAACAGGTTCTGATGGGAAACGTGTATTGATACCAATGTTAATGATTGACAAAGGTTAACAGGAGCAGCAGAGGATAGATTAATGATGGACGACACATCAGGTCCATGTAAATTCAATTGAACACATTTTGAGTTTGAGATCTTTTACCTTCATCAGATCCAACATCAAACCACTCAAGATGCCTTGGTACCTTCTCTCCAAAGTCTGAGGATGAGCGACTGAGGGAAACTGGCAAGCACACACACACACACACACACACACACACACACACACACACACACAC